CAATCCACATCTTCAATGTGGAGTCGGTAGACGAATCCATCTGGACAGGAGCGGAAGCCACTGTAACGTCGCTCGGCTTTGCGTTTGCATTCACCGCACCCAGTTTTGGGTTGGTCGAATGACTTACGACACTTTGTGCAGCCCCAATGCAAAAAATTGGGCAAAGCTTTGATGGCTTCGATGGATGTTGGCTCATCCACAGGGGCTGGTGATCGGTCTGTCAGGGCTGATGCAGCAGCAGGCTTTCGCATTTTTGTGGCTGGCTTTCTAAGAACTGGGCCTGGGGTGACCTCTGGTTCAATTTCTGAACTTGTGGCCAAATCTGCCGGGGCATTGGGCGGTGGGGCAGGTTCTTCTGCAAGCTCACCTTCCATTGGGGCAGTGGTAGGACCTTCTGTTATTGCTGCTGCTGGTCGTCGCCGCACCATCCGAACAGGTGCATGGGTTGCTGGCCTTTTGATTGCGACCTTTTGTTGTTTCACTGTGACATGCCTTGGCGGAGCTTGTTGTGGCATTTCCACATCCTCGAAATTGGGTGGATCTTGCTGCACAATCCGAGCCTCAGAATCATGAATGCTGAAAATAAACTTCAATTCCACCGGCTTGGGCACGACTCCATTCTCGTTGTTGTCACACAGCTCCTCCAACCATGTTTGGCCTTCAAACAAATTCCATGGAGCACTCCCGACCAGCTTGGCTGTTTTGCGAAACTCGGACAAGGTAGTCTGTGAGAAAGGATTCTTCACCGAAGGTTTCAATTGAGCCTTGTCAAACTTATTCCACACACTGAGAGGCAAAATCAACTGCGGCGGTTGCGAAGCAGCTGCGTCGGATATGAATTGCTTCACCGTCAAGACAACATCGCCTGGATTCTCCTCCAACTGGTTCCAATCTTCATGGAAAATCTCCACTCGGGGATGGTCCCCTTGTACAGCTTCTCGTCGTTCGAATCGCCACAGGTGATTTGCTGGTGAGAACTGTGTGGAGGTTAAACCCGAAATATTGCTGTCGGAACTGCCCTGCATCCAAGCTTTGAAATCCCATGTGTTGTGGACAATCTCCACATGGAGGTATTTTGCATGCAGAGGTTTCATTTGGCTCTCGATGATGTGCTTGAGTTCATCCATGGTTTCAATCTTTGGGCATTGCTTGATCAAAGTAGCTAATGTGCTGAAACGCTGGTCCAACTCATTGTGTGTGTGCTGTGTTTGTAGGTATTGTGTTTCTACACAGCGGAAATGGTGGGCTGTCAACCAAGCGCAAAAACCAGCAAATATCTGGTTTTTGGACTCTCGAGGGGTGTTGTCCACAGCAATCACCATGTTGTCAGGTAGATCTAGGTCCATGGTTGGCTCCAACAACTGTAGTTTCTCACGTGCCACGTCCAATGATCTGCCCAACAAAGTCGCTTGCATACTTGAATCTTTTGCACAGTCCATGGGTAGCAAGTAATAATACTCGCAAACACCCCAAAGAATCCCTCCAACGAGGTGTACATTGGGTTTCCAGACCTTGCCATAATCTGAGGTTCCGCATAGTCTCTTCGCTCTTGGCATGGCAAACTTGGCTTGATCCATGCCGTCCAGCATGAGCTTGCAAACCCCATGATGCCGATTGTCAGGCATGAAATTTGCCAATTCGCTCGATTTGACATTGCCACGAGTGTTCACCTTTCGATCTTTCTTCACCACGTTGAGGTGCTCTTGTTTCTCACAATCGATCTGTAAACGTTCTTCTTCGTTCGAAGCGTTTGAGCGTCGTTCAGCCAATGACAGGCAGATGGAGCACTTGCCCTCTCGAATGTTGATCTGGCCACTTGTTGAGAACTGTCCACATCGGCCTGGTAAAATGTGAACAATTCATGAATGTTGTGGAAGTTTAGAAATCTTCTTCCTGCAACACGTTTGCCACCTGCACTGGTGTCAAGGTTGAACCCCAATGCGTAAACCGGATGGCTGATGTCGTCCACAATCTCATGTGTGCTTTCCACAACTTCTGCAAGGCCTGTGGGCAATCTATCTTCAGACCCGGGTACAGCTAGAGGGTCTGCTAGGTGTTGGTAGGTCTCCAACAACCATGTGTTGCAACGGTCCAACATGGGCTCGGGCTTGTGCGCTCGAGGTCCTGGAGGTGGAAGTGTGACATTCCCGGCACGCAAAAGCTTGAGAATGTTGGACACCTTTCCTGGCGACAATGCATGTGTTGAAGTCCAGAAGCGGCGACAAACAGTGTGCCCTTGGAAATGCCAATCCAAACCATTCTTTTGTTTCTCTGCAGTGTTCTGGTCGAAGACCTTTTTGACACAATCGAACTTTCTGGCTTTGACCTCGGCAGGTGTTCCTTGTCCAAGCTCTAGTTGGTAGCTTTGCAATGCCTCTTTGGAGAAGAACTGGCCACAATTGCGTTTGCAACAATCGTTTTTGTTGCAACCATCGTCCAAATTCAAATCGTCACTGCCAATGGATGGCGGGAGGGAAACATCAGAGTTGGATTCATCTGCAACATCTGTGTGGATCGAGGATGGCAAACTTGGCTCTGGTGACGACATTGCCCTGTTGGGTGAAAACTGCAAAAAAGTTCAGAACTCACAAGGTTGGTGTGATTATTGTTAATTGTTCTGTAATGGAACCAATTGTGACTGTGTCAGTTGCGTTGTTATGGAGGTGTCAATTGTGTTGTTGTGTTGTCAATTGTGTTGCGCAGGTTCTCTCATTGTTCTGAACGTCCTGAACCAATTAGAAACAGCGCAGGTTGTTTCATTGTTCTGAACATTAGAGTAACAGCGCAAGAAAACAAGGCACCAGAAAACACATCAGCAAAAAAACAGGAAAGAACAAGAACATGTCCCTGTGATTGGCCAACAGCCTTCGGGCCAGCAAGCTGTGCAGGCTTGCAATCCCCTAGGCTGTCAGACCAACCACATCCCACCAACCCCCAAACGAACACGATGACACCTTTTTTCTCGCACACTTGACAATTAAATGCAATGTGAAAACATCTTGTCATTGACATGCAACAGTGTGTGTGTCTTTGCAAATGATATATGATATGTTTTTTTGCAAATGCAACATAGGTATGGACCACATATGTTTAGACCATTGGGATCAATAGACTGTTGGGCATTGGGTGGGGTCATCTTACACTTATATATATGTTTACCGAAGGCAATACATCTGTTGTCCAATGGTGACATTCATCTATCTCCAAGAGCTCACATACCAACAAAGCTCTTGCAATCACTCTTGAATGACATGTGGCTGTGACCACATTTTTGGACTACCATTTTTGGAAGTTGGACTACCACTTCTCAGGGGGAATCCATACTACCAGGTCGCCAGTTCTCATCTTCCAACTCCCCAGATACTCCGCGTACTCAACTTGTACTACCCAGTCGCCAGTTCTCATCTTCCAGCTCCCCGGATACTCCGCGTACTAAAGTTGTACTACCAAGTCACCAGTTCTCATCTGGCCACTCCCCAGATACTCCGCGTACTAAAGTTGTACTACCACGTCATTCTACTACCAAGTCACCAGTTCTCATCTGGCCACTCCCCAGTTACTCCGCGTACCAAAGTTGTACTACCAAGTCGCCAGTTCTCATCTTCCAGCTCCCCAGCTACTCCGCGTACTACAGTTGTACTACAAAGTCGCCAGTGCTCATCTTCCAGCTCCACAGATACTCCGCGTACTCAACTTGTACTACCCACTCACCAGTTCTCATCTTCCCACTCCCCAGCTACTCTGCGTACTAAAGTTGTACTACCAAGTCGCCAGCTCTCATTTCACAAATCGCGCTCTCGCCTGCATTTCGCGCACTCAACACACACGATCTCCGCAGAGGGTTGCGCGGTAATTTCACAAATCGCGCTCTCGCCTGCATTTCGCGCACTCGACACGCACGATCTTCGCAGAGGGTTGCGCGGTAATTTCACAAATCGCGCTCTCGCCTGCACTTCGCGCACTCGACACGCACGATCTCCGCAGAGGGTCGCGCGCACACCGGACGAGTCGCGCTCTCACCTGCATTTCGCGCACTCGACACGCACGATCTCCGCAGAGGGTCGCACGCACATGGGACGAATCGCGCTCTCGCCTGCATTTCGCGCACTCGAC